TCAAAATAGGAAACAATCCTATGTTTCCTAAAGTAAGAAGATCTCTACACCTGCTGCCCTTTCCTACTAGCAGCCCAACAGGTGTGGGGGCATTTGTGGAGCAAAAAATAATCAAGAAAAATATGGAGGTGACACGTGGATTTTTGGGTAAAAAAGACAAGATTACCCTCGATGCACACCGGGATTTCTAAGCGCAAGTAGTGGGCAATTATTCCTCAATCGAGTCAAAAGTGCCCAAAATAGGTATTTATTCAAAATCTATTTCATCCATCCTCATCAAATCTTCTCCACAATGTAACCCCCAAATCATTCCTTTCTAATTATATTAATTAGCTAATTAATTGATTTATTAATTAGCTAACAAATCATGAATCTCACCCAAAAAACCATCCAAGTGGCCGGTCCCCATCCTCCCAAAGGGGCCGGCCACACCCCTATATAAACACCCTCATTTTCTTCAAAACCTAAGTTCTACATTCTTGCCAAATTCTCTAAATTCTCCAAACACTTTTCCCTCAAAATTCTAACTTTGGCATCAAAGGTTCTTCAACCAAACCCCCCCAATTTATCGTGGGCGCGTGAGGCTCTTGGCATTGACCTAAGGTGTTGTTTGTTTTGTATGTTCAATTTTGTCTAAGCGGAAGAAATTTGCACAATATATATAAAGCCAATGAAAAATGTGACTAGAGATTTTGGTGTCACCAAGCTTCAACAAAAAATTTGGACAAGTGCCCAAGACAAAAAACTTCAAAAGCGTCCCAAAATAATGCATCAAATAAGGTAGGGGCATTTTTGTCTGTTTAATAGTATTTTTTTAATAATTAATATTTTTGTGGTTTGTTTGTTTGTTTTTAATTATTACCTCACAATAGGTTAGTAATAATGTGATTCAATTTCTCTATTTTAAACACGTTCAAAACATCTTAAGCGGCATGTAATGCCAAATATAAAAAAAGTTATTCGCATGCGGATAATAATGTGATTAAATTAATTGTCAAGTGATTTTTTTTTTTTAACAAACGATATTATCTACACTAAGGGGGAAGGGATGAGCTTAGCCTCACAATGAGCTAGCAATAATGTGATTCAATAAGTTGTTTATTAAATATTATTTTCTCTGTTTTAAACAAGTTCAAAACATTTTAAAAGGCGTGTAATGCCGGTTAAAAAAACAAAATTCTTTTGCATGCTGATAATAATGTGATTAAATTAGTTGTTAAATGATTGTTTTTTTTTCAATGAAAAGGGTGAATAGTGATTTTGGTGTCACCAAGCTTGAACAAAAATATTTGGACAAAAATGCCCCCAAGACAAAAAACTTCAAAGGCATCCCAAAATAATGCATCAAATAAGACAAAGGCATTTTCGTCATTTTAATAGTAGTTTTTTAATAATTAATTTTTTGTGTTTTTTTTAATTAATTTATTTTTTAAAATTAGTACCTTTCAATAAGTTAGCAATAATGTGATTCAATTTTTCTATTTTTAAACACGTTCAAAATATCTTAAGAATCGTGTAATGCTGGATATAAAAAAGATCATTCACATGCGAATAATAATTTGATTAAATTAATTGTCAAATGATTGTTTTTATTTTTATTTTTAACAAACGATATTATCTACACTAAGGGGAGGGGGTGGGCTTAGCCTCACAATGGGCTAACAATAATGTGATTCAATCAGTTGTTTATTAAATATTATTTTCTCTATTTTTAAACACGTTCAAAACATCTTAAGAGGTGTGTTATGCCGGTTATAAAAAAGGTCTTTCACACGCGGATAATAATGTGATTAAATTACATTAAATTAGTTGTCAAATGATTGTTTTTTTTAACAAACGATATTATCTATACTAAGACCATCTCCAATGGTTGGGCTAAAATCCAAATATTTTAGCCTGGAAAATTTAGCTTTTAGCCCAGAAACAGCTTTTTTGCTTCAACTGTTCGCCTAAAATTTTAGCTTAGGATTATTAAAGAATGAACTTAGGCAATTTTTTTTAAATTAAATTTAAAAAAATATATATGTAGACTATCGTAAATTAATTTTATGAACATTTTAATCTAAAAAAATTTAAATTCCGATAAATATTGAAAAATCACTAAATTTTTCACAAAGCAAGCCTTAAATTATTTTAGCCGTTGAATTTAAATTTGGATCATTAGATCTTTTTTTTACCGTTAGATTTGATTATATTCGATCTCAACCGTTGGATTCAATGTATTTTAAAATAACATATTTAAAAAACAAATTAAATTTGAATTTGGACCGTTGAATAAACCAACGGTCCGTTAAACCAAGCCCTTGGATTCAAATTATAGCAGTTGGGATTTTTGGGTGGCCGACAAACGGCTGACAGCGGGGCCCACCCCTATTAGGAAAGGTTTGCAAGTGCACCGCGTGGGGTGCATTGGAGTGTGACTAGGTCGAGACTGGGCCAATTGCTAGTGAGTCTAGTCTCACCGGGGGGAATTTTGGGGGGTATTTGGCCCAGCTTTAACATTTGGCATTTAACCCAATATTTTAGCATGGGTTGGAGATTGTTTGGGGGGGGGGGATTTGGGTTGGAGATGGTCTAAGGGGAAGGGGTGAGCTTAGCCTCATAATGGACTAGCAATAATGTGATTCAATAAGTTGTTTATTAAATATTATTTTCTCTATTTTAAACACGTTCAAAACATCTTACGATGCGTGTAATGCCGGTTATAAAAAAAAATCTTTTGCACAGGGTAATAATATGATTAAATTAGTTGTCAAATGATTGTTTTTTATTTTTTTTAAACAAACAATATCATCTACACTAAGGGAGATGGAGTGGACTTAGCCTCACAATGGACTAACAATAATGTAATTCAATCAGTTGTTTATTAAATATTATTTTCTCTATTTTAAACACGTTCAAAACATCTTAAAAGGCGTGTAATGCCGGTTATAAAAAAGTCTTTCGCACTGGATAATAATGTGATTAAATTAGTTGTCAAATAATTATTTTTTCTTTTTAAAAAACGATATTATCTACACTAAGGGGGAGATGTTGGGCTTAGCCTCACAATGGGTAAGTAATAATATGATTCTATCAATTGTTTATTATATATTATTTTCTCTATTCTTAATGTAAATTATATAGAGTTCGATTTTATTATGTGAATTCAGATGTTTTAATTGGTTTATGCAGGGTTTCTTCTAATATGATTTAAAATTATTCATTTACTTCAAATATTTGACTTTTCTTTTGTCAATTTACACATACAAATATATTTAAGATGTGTAAGTCGCGTATATCATGCCGTAATTCAAAAAATGTATTATTGTGAGTGCGTACATGAAGACTAGGAGATTAATAAATGAAAATGAATTTCTTACAAATTTGGCAGATCTTAGCTCCCAACGTGGTGCTATGGGACCCAACCATCATCCAAGCTGGCGCCCTCTAATACGTCACCAAAGTAAGCGCTAAAAGCGCGTCCGTGTCCAACCGCGCCACCAGAGCTGGATCTGTCCTTCCTGCCCTCTTATAATTCTTCCGAAAAGTCCATCATCTCCTCACAATCTCACTCCCCCTCTCCATTTCTCCTCACACCCCCCACGACTCCACCACACCCACAATGGCATCCGAAACCGACACCGCCAGATCCGGATCCTTAACCCCCAACGGCTCCGCCCCTGATTCGCCGGAGCACCGCAAGGTCGCTCTAATCACCGGCATCACCGGCCAGGACGGCTCCTACCTCACCGAATTCCTCCTCGACAAAGGCTACGACGTCCACGGCCTGATCCGACGGTCCTCCAACTTCAACACCCAGCGCATCAACCACATCTACATCGACCCCCACAACGCCCACAAGGCCCGCATGAAGCTCCACTACGCCGACCTCACCGACTCCTCCTCCCTCCGCCGCTGGCTCGACATAATCGCCCCCAACGAGGTCTACAACCTCGCCGCCCAATCGCACGTCGCCGTCTCGTTTGAGATCCCCGATTACACCGCCGACGTCGTTGCCACCGGCGCCCTCCGCCTCCTCGAGGCTGTCCGCTCCCACATCGCCGCCACCGGCCGCACCGACATTAAGTACTACCAAGCCGGGTCGTCCGAGATGTTCGGGGCCACCCCGCCTCCTCAGTCCGAAACGACGCCGTTCCACCCCCGATCCCCCTACGCAGTTTCGAAATGCGCGGCGCATTGGTACACCGTGAACTACCGCGAGGCATACGGGCTGTTCGCGTGCAACGGGATTCTGTTCAACCACGAGTCGCCGCGGCGGGGGGAGAATTTCGTGACCCGGAAGATCACCCGGGCCGTGGGTCGGATCAAGGAGGGATTGCAGAGCAAGCTGTTTTTGGGGAATCTGCAGGCGTCGAGGGACTGGGGTTTTGCCGGCGACTACGTGGAGGCGATGTGGATGATGCTGCAGCAGGAGAAGCCGGACGACTACGTGGTGGCGACGGAGGAGTCGCACACGGTGGAGGAGTTCCTGGAGGTGTCGTTTGGGTACGTGGGATTGAACTGGAGAGACCACGTGGTGATCGACAAGAGGTACCTGCGGCCGTCGGAGGTGGATAATCTGAAAGGGGATGCGAGCAAGGCGAAGAAGGTGCTGGGTTGGAAGCCGAAAGTCGGGTTTCAGCAGCTGGTGAAGATGATGGTGGACGAAGACGTTGAATTGGCTAAGAGGGAGAAGGTGCTTGTGGATGCTGGGTACATGGATGCTCAGCAACAGCCTTGATATCTCCGGTGCTGGGTACACGGGTGCCAAAAAGAGTTTTAAGTTATATAATGTGGCTTAGTTCTAGAGCTCAATATAGTTTGCATTCCAGTAATTAATTGTTCAGTGCTGTTCGTTTCGAGGGTTGTTTTTATTTTTAATTTTTCTGTAACTTTGATTCATTTTTCAGCAAATTACTTGTTTCCTACCCTGTCATTTTCATTTTCTTGTTTTTCAGAGAGATGTTATTAGCGCTCGAAAATGGCCCTCGGTTAATCCAAAAATGAATCAAGGACTATAACAATCAACTAGAATTTTTATACGCCTCAATGTTGCCGAAAAGAAATTAATCAAACGTGTTTTCGTTCATAGATTTTGTACACGAAAAAATGCAAAATCAGTCTAACTTGGATGCTGCGGATGGTAGACTTTGGTCTGGATCTCTTTGCACGTCGGATGAGCTAGAGCTAGATTGGATTTCTTGGCCGGTGGTGCAGACTGCAAACGGCTTGATGGATGACCGGAGGGATTCGGGTCCTTCAACAGATATTCTCCGGCACAGTGCATCACAGTTGCTAATGACCTCTGTTAACCTTCCTTTAAGCTCCCCAATCTCCACCTGCAACGAATGAACTGCATGCGTGTTCCAATACGAAGATAGAATAAGTGGAAAAAGATCTCAGAAAGTTATGACACACATGCGATGGATGGTAGATCCTGCCGATTTCACCATATACTAGGTCCATTGAAATCCGCCGAGGGAAAAAGACCCTTACAACATACATTTTTCTTCCCTTAATGTGTATAACGTGATCACTTACCTTCGGATAAATGTTGTGAAGATGTCTTCATTGCCGACACTGAATAATTAAAACGTTGAAGAAGTTTAGCAGCCAAAGCATCCGTAACCTCTATTTTATTTTCTACCTCTCCCTGCAATAATTAGTAAGGTTTAAACGGTTCCTCTGGGGGAGAAGGGATGCCAAACAACTTTAGCTAGTACAAATCTCGGCATGAGAAAAAACAGGCTTCGGATAAGGAAGAACAAACCACATACTTCATTCCAAACATATCAAAAGTGTATGACTATGTCAGACTCCAACGAAATTTATTAACACTAGTTTATACCGCACTAAATGGAAAGTTTGCACCCGGTCAGAAACCAGCTCATTGCTTTAATAAAGGGCCATCACATGAAAAAATAACTTGAATTTCATTGCGACATCCTTAAAGTGGTCACCTCCTTGAAGTTGTTCAACTTAGTTCAGATTTAACCATGATCCACTTAATTCAGTGGTTTCATTTTACCAACCAGAGCATCAGAAGAAAAAAGTAAACGATCACACGCTCTATGCGTAAGGACACTGAAGAAGATACGCTAATCCTTGACCCACGTTCTATTTTCTACTTCGATTTTAAACTAAAAAATTGCCTCCTGAACTTCGAAATTATATGAAATAACCCTCCGACAGTAGAAAACGGACAGTCAGTGCATGCAAGTGTGAACCCTAAAAACCAGAGATTTATTTCTTCAAACAAACTCAGATATTCAACGAGGACAGTAGAAATCTTGTGAAAACAAACCTGTCTTTTGCTTATCTTTTGGACATTATCCTCCTGCCACTCACGGTACATTGAGAAGAGTTCCAATAGCACTTTCGGATCCACAACACCTACATTGTCAATTCATAACAGAGTAGAAAAATTTCCGCATCAAAACTAATAAAATACAAGCAACAATCTCGTCACGAAAAAAGACACAGCAGCTACAGAACTACAACCATTATACTAATCGCTGTGGAATTCCAAATTCAGCTAGTCCAATTCCTCTGTAAGGACTTCATTATGGTGTTTATTCACCTCAATCTTTTTCGTAATCGAAAAATATAAAATTCAGCGAAGCAGCTTACTTGGCACTGAAGAAGACGAAGGCTTCCTCACTAAAATGTCAGTCAAGCTGCCCTCAGCCGGGGGCGAAGTCAGCAGGGGCGTCGACTGCAATCAAACATTTCAAAAAAGCAAATTCAAAAACTCGTTTTCAGAGAACAGCAACCAATTAACTGAATTCAAAATTTCAAACCCTAGTTTTTTTTTTTCTTCTGTTTTCTTAAATTGATGAAAATTTGGGAAAGTAGAATACAAAACTCACGATTTTGAGGGATTTGAGCTTCTCTAAGACGGGATCGGCGGTCTCTGATCGTTCCGACACGGTGGTGATTTCTTCGGCCGGCCTCTTCAAGCATAATTAAAAATTTTAAATGCTAAGTTAAATAAATTTGGATAATGAGACAAATAAAATTACAATTGGAGATGATTAAGACGGAGAAGTACCTGTGAGCTTGAGAGTGTGGATTCTGAGGCGCCCATCGGTGCTGCTTCTGTACGACCGAAACGCAGCGTCCAAGTGGAGCTGAATACTGCGGAATTACAACAACGTTCGCGCGTGTACGGAAAGCGCGCCCCGACTTTGAGTTTGGTATTGGGCTTGGAGTGTCGCATTTACTTATTTATTTGTGTTGAGCTAGACAGTGAGGAGCCAAGTCACATATTTTGGAGGTGTCTGGATCCTGTCCGTGGCAACTGGTAGGGATCATTCTGATCAGTGTTCGTGGACTGTTAGATTTTTATCCATCGGTTACAAATAAGGGACCTTCTAAAAGTTATAATAATTGTAGCCGTTGGATAAAAATCTAACGGTTCACGAACACTGATTAGAGGATCCCGACCAGTTGCCTCAGAGAGGATCCAAATCCGTACAAATTACTAGTTTGATACTAATAAAAGCAAGTTTACTGTGGTACAAATTACTATTTTGATACTAATACAAGCGAGTTGATCCGTTGTAAAATTGTCTTCACAAACAACATTTGCAAATCCTATCTCACGAGAATTGCACATAAAAAAGCAAGAAAAGTATTCAAGTCAAATCTTAATCCGTGAGAAAGACTTATATAAAACGGGTTCACTATCATGTGGAGTTTTGCATCCAATATTATGTTGTCAATAGTAAGTTTTTCTTCACATGATAATTTATTATTGAATTGAGACGCCACGTAATGGTAAATTTGTTTCATGTAAGTTGCTCTCCTAATTTATCATCCTAAAAGTAATTTGTAGCATAGTAAAATTAGAGAAACAATAGTAACAATTCAGATTCAAACTATCGAATAATGCATATGATATGGCAATGTTGAATAAAAAAATATCAGCGAAAAGATTATGACAAGGAGAATTTAAATTCGACTACTAAACTAACGTTTGCAACGGAACTATCAGAAGAGCACAAATTTCAAATGCACCAATAAAACCGTTTTTCTTGAAATAAGCCACTTTTCGTACACGCTAGAAACAGAGGAAGAAAAGAGAAACTATTTAGTGGACGTTTGTTTTCCAACGAAACTAGCGCGTCGCTCTCCATTTAGCAAACTCAAAAGACAAAACCTTATTCGCGTCGAAACTGAAAACTCCACCGTGCTCCGCTACTCACGGTCAGATTCACAAACTCCGACAACCAAACCCCTATCTCCACTTCCCTCTCAATTTCTTCGCGTTTTAGCCGCTGCATATCCTAAGCATGAGACCTCGCAAGGCGGACGCTTCCAAACCGCCGACCGCTAAGAAAACGCCGCCGGCGAGGAAAACCGCCGCTAAAGCACAACCGGCGGCTTCCCCGCCGGACTTAGAAGTGGCCATTCTGAAAACCGTCGAAACAAAGCGCGGTTGTGCCGGCCGACTGAAGCAGGCCAAGAAGAACGAAACGACACCGCCTGCTGATTCGAAGGCCCCCAAATCATCAGGTAGTTATTGAATTAGTTTGTCAGTTAGTAGATTCATTATTTAATTTCAAACTTCAATTATTTAGTTTGATTAAATTAGGGTTTTATCATCTGGAATTTTGGTTGCTGCTGCATGTAGAAGTTGAACTTTGTTACTCAGCTGAACTAATTAAGTTGAAGATTTTTATGACTGATTATTTTAGTTCTGAATATAGCATTGTGATAGTTAGTTATTCACTTAATTTTTTTTCTTTGATTTAAATTATTGGTTGGATTAGTAGCTGAGGGGACTGAGGGATCAGCTGGTACTGCTAAAGTGGCACCGGCGGCTAAAGTTGCTGTGGTGAAAAAAGTACCTGCGAAAAGGTTGTCGGCGAAAGTTAAGACACTGGCATCTGCTAAATCTGTTTCACCGCAGACACCGAAATTGGGGGCATCAGTGAAGGCGAAAGCAGATGCATTGAACAAGGGGAAATCCGCAGATGTTAGTGACGTGGAAGTTACAGAAAAGAAAGCGGTTGCTGAGAATGTTGGAGAGTCTGCTAAGAAGGATGGAAGCATTGTGGAATTTGAAGTAAGCACTGTTGAGAATGTTGGAGAGCCTGCAACAGTCAAACAAACAACCGTGGAAGTAAAAGTAAACCCGAATGAAGATGAAGAGGATCCTGAAGAGGAAGAGGATCCTGTTGAGGAGGAGGATCCTATAGAGGAAGAGGATCCCTTTGAGGCAAAAGAATCTGTAGCTGGGGAGGTTTCAGAGTTTTCTGAGAATGAACTAGCTTGTGATGTAAAGGAGGGAGTGGAAGTGACAGAGGAAGAGGATCCCATTGAGGCAGAAAAATCTTTAGTTGGGGAGGTTTCAAAGTCTTCTGAGAATGAACCATCTCGTGATGTAAAAGAGGGAGTGGAAGTGCAAGAAGGTCAGAAGGAGAAGTCGGAGAGAGTAGAAGTGAAAGGAGATCAGAAGAAGGAGTTGGAGGATAATGGAGATGAAGTCGAGACCTGTAGTGAGGCTGCTAACAAGGTAGAAAATTCCAAAGAGGGGTTACAAGGAGAAGATGTTGAGCATGGTAAAGGGGTGTATGATGGTGATGAGCAGATGGAAGAGTATGGTGAGAAATTGGATCTTGGAGAACATGGAGAGGAGGAACTTCCAGAGGATGATGCAGAGGATCCCGCAGAAGAAACTGAGAGATTGGCTGATGAACATAAGGAATTTACAGCCCATGAGCACAAGATGAGGAAAGAACGTGAGATATTTCTTGGTGGGCTTGATCAGGATGCTGTGGAGGAAGATGTGAGAAGGGTCTTTGAGAGGATTGGAGGGATAGTTGAAGTTAGGTTACACAAGAATCCTTCAACTAATAAGCACAAGGGTTATGCATTTGTGGAGTTTGAAAATAAGGAGTATGCCAGGCATGCTTTGTCTGAAATGAAAAACCCTGTTGTACGGATTTTTCTTTCTGCCTTTCCTGTTTCATATTTTTGTAAACTTCATGCTAATTAACCAATTTGCAGATAAGAGGGAAGCGATGTGGGACAGCACCTAGTGAGGACAATGACATGTTGTTCGTGGGTAATATATGCAATACCTGGACAAAGGAAGCTGTAAGTGCCAATATCATATCAGTCTTGAATGCATAACCTGATAAACAAATAAGTAGCAAAAATGAATACTTGTATGGCTCGTTCACTCTTTCCCTTATCTTAATGTGGGATGACAGATTAAACAGAAACTGAAGGATTATGGTGTGGAAGGTGTTGAGAATATAAATCTTGTTCCAGATGTTCAAAGTGATGGATTGAGCCGCGGTTTTGCATTTATTGAATTCTCTTGTCGTGGTGATGCTATGCTTGCATACAAGAGGCTTCAACAGCCCGATGCTATATTTGGCCACTCTGAAAGAACTGCCAAAGTGGCTTTTGCTGAACCTATACGTGAGCCTGACCCAGAGATCATGTCCCAAGTGAAGTCTGTATTTGTCGATGGGCTTCCACCTCATTGGGATGAGGACAGAGTTAGAGAGCAATTTAGATGCTATGGAGAAATCTTACGCGTTGTTGTGGCTCGGAATATGTCTACAGCCAAGCGGAAGGATTTTGGATTTGTTGATTTCTCTACCCATGATTCTGCAGTGGCCTTTGTTGATAGTATAAATAACATAGAACTGATGGATGGGAATTCAAAGGTATTCTTGTGTTCTCTGTGTGTGTGTGTGTGTGTGGATACAGAAACAAATGATTAGGTTATCTGGCACATTGGAAAAATAAAAAATATATGGGAATGTTCTTTAACTGATTTGCATTTGTCCGTGCAATCATGTAGACACATAGACACCATCCTACACACATGCATACATACACATGTAAGGGATGAACTTTATTTACAATTGTTATTGCAATTACTTGTTGGCCATTATTTTCTTCATATATGATTGCATCAATCAGAATTTGTAATTGAAGTAACGTACTCTTAATCCCTATTTTAATTTGTTACCTACCCATGTTGATTTTTGTAACTCTAGGTAAAAGTGAAAGCAAGACTTTCAAATCCTTTGCCTAAAACTCAGGCTGTGAAGGGTGGAATGTGCGGTGGATTTCGAATTGGTCATGGTGGTGGTAGTGGTATCTTTTCAAGATCTGGTAAGAGATATGTTTGAGTTTTGATTGAAAATTCATTTTGATTTGCACATTGTTTCTTGTTCTCACTCTCTAAGTCTCTATTGCTCATAGGACGGGGTTTTGGTCGCGTTGGACATCATTTCAACCGTGCAACGTTCCAACCTGATAGACATTTCTATCGTGGTGGACGTGGTCAAACTGGCAGGATGGGTTTCCCGAACGAATATGACTTCGATTACCCATACGAGTTTCATGGACAAGGTTTTTATTGTGATTACATTTGTGTCTTGTAGTTTCTCTCCCAAACAAAACTTACTGATTTTGTTATGTTTATCAGGGGGAAGAAGGGGCTCTTTCAGGGACGGTCGTTATGGATTTGGTGGAGGTGCTCCAGTTGCTGCCCCACCATCAAGACCCTACACAGATCGGACTTGGCATGATGCCCCTGATAGAGGCTATGGTATGCATATTCCTCCTAGGAGGCATCCATATTCTCCAGGACAGTTTGATGGACCATTCATGGGGGGTCATTTTGATGAACCTTATTTTTACAATGATAACGCACATGGAATAAAACGTCCATTTCACATGAGAGTAAGATTCCCTTGATTTTTTTTTTTTTTTTTATGTTTTTGTTTTTTTGTTAAGCATTTTATGGCATTCCTTATCATATGAAACTGCTACTTCTAGGACTATGATCATGACTACTCGGAGCCTAGTAGTTGTCGCCCACGGTTGGATTACACTGATCCAGCAGCTTCGTTTCATGGAAACCATTATAGGGGTCTCTTCTCCTCGTCTTGCCCGTATAGTTACTTTTATGTCAGTTTACTATCTTAATTGACTTGTCTTTTAGATACTTACGGAGCTCGCAACAGTGTCTACCCTCATGATTATTGTGGTCCTGGAGTAAGCAATTGATGTTCACTTCATCCTTACTTGACATGTTACATTAACGTAATTATGATGCATCAAATCTTGTTTTGCAGTATAATTCCGGTCCATATTCATCTTATTTTGAGGGCAATCACTCATATGCAGGTGGCCGCTACTATTAGACTCAAGAACTTTTTGGTAATACGAGTGTTTTGTGATTTTAAGTTCAAATCCGTTATTGTGAATTTGGTACGTTAATGTCGTAATGGTACTTATTTAATTGTGATCAGGTGTACTTTATCGAAGATGGGCTAGCAGCTTGCTGTTTGAAAGAAGTTGCATAGTTTTTTCTCTTCTCTGTCTTCATCTTTCTTTTCGTCCTCTATCTGTCTTCTTTACTTGTTCGTTGCCCATTAAATTAATTTTCAGTAGGATTTCCAAATCTTTTCTGTTTGTAGTTTAGGTAGTCTCCAAGGGCCTTGACTTAGAAACTAGTAATTATGTGTATAGTGGAGGTGGAAGGAGACCGACTCATTAGGCATGGACAACTGGAGCACTGTGTTATAGTTGTTCTTTTGAAGCTAAGGTACTTGTTTCATCCCTATCTATAAATACCGACCCGGGCCAATTACTTGTTGATTGCAGTTAATTTTGTGGTTTAGAGAAGTCAAGTTTGGTGATTTTAGAGATGACAGGTTTTTAGTTTAGGGTTTATCCTTTTTCATGGAGATGCAAGGGTTAACGTCAGAAATGCAGATGAAGATGTACCGACGGCTTTTTATGGAGAGACAAATATGCATAAATTATGGAGTTCTCTTCGAAATAAATGAGAAACATGTGTGATTATATTTTCAGAGGTTTTTCTAAATTAGGGTAGGCTCTATATGACATTCTGATGTTGGTGTATATGATGTTATGTAGTGATTTTCTCCATACTGAAATGTAGCTTTGGGTATTTAGCATGGATTTAGCGGTTCATAACCAGTTTTGCCTTTTGTCATGAAACTGTTCTGCCAGAGGTATACCTTAGTTTTCGTATTTTTCCGAGGGATGATGCCATTTGGAATTACAAAAAATTCAACCACATTTGCTTTGATGTTATAACTGCGAGGAGCATAAGGGATTGATCAGGTCATATGGTGCCCAGTTATATCAATTTCATAAAAGTTTTATCCTGTGGAAGATCCCCGTGAGGAGGAATAAGGAGTTCATTGCTTTTCAGGTGATAACTAGTTGTTGGGCAAGTAGTTTTAAAGCTCCGACAAATGAATTTTTGTGGTTGTCATCAAGAAATTTGGACTTTCTATGGTAGAATTTTCTTCTCTAGTTTTGGCATATGCTGGCCGTTTATGATTTTGTTTTTCTGGAAATCCGGGGCCAGATGCTGAATGTATTTGGTTCTCAATTGAAGTTAAGGGTATATTGTCTGTTGTCTCAAACGGGTAGTGGCTCAGGCTGTAATTCATTCTGATTATCCAATTACTTTTCGTTAGGGCTTTAGATTGTATCATCATTGTGATTGAGTAGGCAAATGCTAGTCATTCATGATGTTTCTGCTAATCTAAATGCCCTACTTTTGGGTTCTTATTTGAAGGAATTTAGTCTTTGTTTTGTCAAATGGGTAGTAGCTTCGTCCTACCGATCCTCTCCCAGAAGAGGATCTGTATGACTCTGCTATAATTGGTTTTGACATACATAACACTGCTCACTAGAGGATTAGGTATTATACTGACCTGTCATTGATTGGTGTTATGACCCGTGCCTCTTGTCGCATATCGCATAACATTAAGATTTTCTTACTAGCAGTTGTATATAGGTTCCATTTCTCTGTTGAAAACATTGAGCATACAGAAACATGGATAACTGCTAACCGTATAGGCTTGTTTGGTGTCTAGGATTGGATTGGATTGGATTGGATTGGGTAGCTCCCTAGATCCAATGTATGTTGAAGGAAGAACTGGATCTAAACTTCCAAATTTTGGGAGGGATAATTTTTCTTCTTACGAGTCCATCTTTTACCCTCAATTGACAGAAACTGGACGTAGGCATACATTGAATTTAGTGAGTTATCTAATTCAGCCAATTTTGAACACCAAACGAGGGCATGTAGAATGTCATGATTGACGTATGTCGGTACAGTATGTGGTGTGTTTGATTTTCTGCATTATGGTGCTACTTGTCTGTTTGGCAGTCTCGAGTCAGACATGGTGCCGTACAGAGAGTTGAATTACGAGCAGGATATTACAAAGTTCCTCTGTCATGTCATTTGTTCATTCAGGTTTGCATAACAGAGAAAATTCTAGAACAAAAACCAAGTCTTTACGTTGGACAGAATTTGTAAAGACGTTGATAGTTTATATCTTGTTTATTATAATTTCCACCAAATACTACATTGTAAGCTACGGTTGATCGATGTCTTACAAAGTTTCGATCAATTACGCATGTGGAAATTTTGATTACGACAATGGTCATTGAACTCTAATTGCCCCACGTGTTTAACTTTTGTCCTTTTTGTCATTGTTTTGTACACGTTATTGATTTTACTCCTTAAAAAGGAGATCAAATTGACGAAAAGAGTAAAGTGGGACATATAACGCAATTGGAGGACCATAGAATTTAAACACAGAAGGTTGAACACGGATATACGTACCACCTAGGGCGTATTCAACTCATACTTGAAATTTGGGCATTTTCACAATGTAATTGATGGGAAACAAATGGAGTATAGAGAGAAGATAAATTGAATTCCAACAAAAGTAAAAGAAGACGAACACAATTAGAACAAAGATATTTAAGATGAGTAGAGCTATATGTGTGAGTACGAAATTGTGTTTATATTTATGCAAATATACCAAATGTTTATTTTTGTCCGTGTTTTTTTCTCGCTTTTTTCTTTTTGTGCACACTTCTCTATGTCTGTGTCACTTGATTCGCATTTGTGGAAATTATTTTGCTAATGATAAACCTCATTCAACCTACAAAAACAAATGTTTCTTTCTTTCCCTCTAAAGAAATTGTTATTCTTTTGTTTTTCTACCACAATTCCACACTTAAATGTAAACCATTTTTGCTCCTTCAACCCACATTGCAAAAAACACACTTTCCTCTCTTCATTAACCCCAAAATTCCACATCCAAATAAAAATTAAACCCGCAGAAAATCCCCGACAAGAACAACCAGAAAAACACAGACAAACACACTTCCCACCACAATCAAACTCGATAACAAAACCAAAATTGCCACGCAGAAAATCCAGCATCCAATCTCTATCTCCACGTGTACGTCCCCGATTTCTCCTATGCACACCTGGCAATCCCCAACACATCGAATCGCCCAATCACAGCCCAGAATTCCCCAGCCGCAGATTGCTCCCTCCATTTAAATTCCAAGAGGTCCAGTGTCTAATCCCGTCAGTCGGTTATCTTTCTACTCCAGAAACGAAAAATTTAGCGTTTTCTGTTCTCCGTTTTTGCGATGTCAGTCACCGAAGAAGCTCAAGCACCCGCCGTGGATGCCCCACCGCCAGAGGAGGCTCCGGTGACGGAGGAGCCCAAGCAGGAAGAAAAGCCAACTAGGCAGACGAAACCCAGGACTCCAAAAGAGAGGAAGCCTGCACAGCCAAAACCCAAAACCAAAACCGCCGCTCATCCTCCATACTTTCAGGTACTTGAATTTGCGATTTCAGATCCCGATTTCTTCATTTTCTCCATTTCTGCTTCTGGGTTTTTTATAATGGTGCTCGAATTCAAGATTTGTGATCATTTTCTTCAGTTTTTGAATTTTGGTTGCGAATTTTGTTTGCAGATGATAATGGAAGCACTTATGGCGCTGAACGAGAAGAGCGGGTCGAGTCCGTACGCCATAGCAAAGCACATGGAGGAGAAGCACAAGGCGGTGCTCCCGGCGAACTTCAGGAAGACTCTGGCACTGCAGCTGAAGAACTCGGCGGCGAGAGGAAAGTTGATCAAGATCAGAGCCTCGTACAAGCTCTCCGAGGCGGGCAAGAAGGAGAAATCGACAGCCAAAACAAGCGCCGTTTCGAAACCAAAAGCGGAGAAGAAGACCAAAACGACCTCCTCTGCTAAGAAGCCCGGGAAAAAGAACAAGATGTCAACCGCCGCGAAGCCCAAGCAGCCCAAGTCGATCAAGAGCTCTGCTGCTAAGAAATCGAAGAAGTCTGCTGCTTGAAATATGTGAAGACGAAGAAAGATGTATAAAAAGTAGGGCAGAATAATAAGTTGGAGAAAGTTGTGTTTGTCGGTGCTCTGTTTTTGTATGTGAATATATGGAATCTTTTGGTGTATGGAGGAGATGGCCGTAAACTTTGGAAAAATGGGGTCTTTTTGTAATCTGCAAGTTTTCTTGGAATGAAAGAACTAACTTGTGCTAATTGCTGAGTTTTGCTTTGCATCCCCTCTTTCATTGGGGGAGCCAGAAATTATTTCAATGGTAATAACTATGAAGAAAGGGTGTATGATAATACAAACCCCTTTAAAAAAACAATCTCACCCTAATAAGTAACATATAAACAAACAAAAAAAACAAGAAATAAGAATCTTATACCTCCTAAGTCCCTACAGTCTTTCCAAATTAATCTCAATTTTTAAAAAAATTCTAAACAAGTATTTAAGTTATTGAAAATATTATATATGTTATAAACTTCTTATTTAAGCGTAATTATGTAAATCTTAGGAGGTGTAGTCAAATTTGGATTTGAGAGGATTTTAAAAGGTTTTAAAATCATAGTGTAGTCAATTAAAAGATTTTAAAGAATTTTAGAATCCATTCAAATCTAGGTGTAGTCAATTAAAGGATTTTAGAATTCTTTAAAATCTAGGTGTAGTTAATTAAAAGATTTTAAAGGATTTTAAAATCCATTCAAATGTTAAGTATATTAAAAAAAATTAAGATTTTGGAGGATTTCAATAAGTTGTGGATTTTGTAGGATTTGAGAGCCAAAAGTATTAATAACCAAGACTAAAAAGAATCCAACCTCACCCCTTAGAATTTCAAATCCTTCCACCACAATCCATTCAAATTCTTTAAAAATCCATATAAGTTTTGTAGGAGTCTTTAATCCTCTTTGATCTTATCAAATCTATCACTATTAAAATCCTTTTAAATCTTAGTTTGATTATATCCCCTTTAGATTTGATTTGATTTTAGTTATTCTTCCATATTAGAACTCGTATTCTTTGGAGGAGAATAATTTCTTCATTTCCTTATTACTATAAATAAAGGCAATGTGTAGGGAGAATAACACATCCTCTACACAACCTTACAAACGCATCTCTCTCTATAGTTTCTCTGTGCCGCTGGCCCCTCTCTTAGTTAAATATAGGCCATAACACATTATCAGCATGCTCCTACCGCTACACTTAGAAATCTAACGTGGAAGTTTTATGCATCAAATCAGTTCAATAATATCATCATGCAATCAGGTTCTTTCAAAACAACGGTTTTTATCTTGATATTTTTGCAGCTCTGATAGCATGAACATTCACCATGATGCATGACTCAATTTATGCTTTTCGAATTTTAGATTCTACATAAATTATGTATGCATTATATTCATAATTATTAAATTATGTGAATTTAATATTACCATGAATTGCATCAAATATATGTACATGCATTAAATTATTTATATGAATATGCATTGAATTAATCTGGAAATTGAATTTTTTTTTTTTAATTAAAATATGGATTAAGGTTTCTTTCCAAACCCTTCTACTGTGAAAGCCACAGCTGGTAAGCCACCAAGTCGTCGAGCCATCAGCCCTTAGGCCTGCAGCCTGAGTGGCTGAGCCGAGCCGCAAGACCATAGAACTGGAGACGAAGGCTTCTGGTTTTGAAACCCAGAAAAACCTGACGCCTTTAATGGCGTCTCCACCATCACAGGTGGGCCTGCAACCCAACCTTGACCTTCGGTCACCGTCATGACGGCATGAAGCTTGTCCAACGACGAAGATTGACTAAAATTCCTTTGAATCTCGTTGGATTTTTTGAAATTCCTATTTGAATTTCTAGGGTTTTTTGGTTGAAATGTTGAGATTTCAAAATCTCCGTTTGTAATCATGGTCGAAAACACCCAAAAAGGGTACCACTGAGTCTTCCCGTCCAAGATTTAGCCACCTGCAGTGGCGGCGCCGGTCATATTCTCTGGCGAAAACCCCTAGTTCTACTAGGACTTCTTGGCCCAAGCTCGATACCAATTTTTGGGCCTGGCATTGACTTAAGCTGAAAGAAAAAAAAAAGGTTTTTTTTTTCTTTTGGGCTCATTACTGCAAGCCCAAACCCTTATCTTGGCCCACTCGTGACACCAACCCAATTGGTCATCGATGTCCCCATGTCCCCGTTGCAGTGGAACCAAGTCTATGTGGTTGTTGTGGATTTCCTATGCTGCGACACACCAAATCCCAACCTCGCTAGTGCATCCATGCTCCCTACCGTACATGGTCAGCACCCTTGCCTGGGCATATTTTGAGCCCGGTTTTCCTTGGTAGCCCTTTTGCTGCCTTGGGCCTATATCCTTTTGGCCTGATCAGCCCATTCCAGCTCAAATTTGGGCCTGGATCTCACAATATTAATTTGTTCAGCCCACCCTTGGGCTTTTGGCCCATATTTTTTGGCCTTGAACTTAATTGTTATTTTTCACCCACACTTTACTTTTGGTCCAAAGTCCAAAAAATTAATTCAATTATTATAATTCTAAGACCTGAAATTCTATTTGCATATTTTCTTGCATATTTCTGTATATATATGCGTTTGTTTGCAAGTAATATGAACCTGAAGTTTATAAACTTTTCTCGAAATAATTAATTGAATGAATTTAAGTTTTCAAACTTTTATGCATGTGACCGCTTCAATTAATTTTTATTTCTAGGTATGACTAGTGGGAAAGTTAGTTGTCTGGCAGATAGTGCAACCACACACACCGTTTTGTGTGAACACATCTATTTCACTAACTTTATACCTAAGGATGCACATCTGACAACCCTTTCAGGACCATCCAACCTGATCGAATGATGCGGTAAGACACGTATAATGTTGTCCAATGATACAATAATAACCATTAATGAGGCACTCTATTCTCCACGTTCCGGAAAAACGTTGTTGAGTTTCAAGGGCATTAAAGATAATAATTACCATGTTGAAACCTATGTAGAAAACAAAGTTGAATTTTTTTGCATTATTTCCTACGAATATGGCCAGAAGCGTATTTTAGAGAAGATGGAGCGTATCCCGAGTGGTCTGTATAATACAACCATACGCCTTATAGAGAGCCACTATGTGGCCGGCCTTACCTCTGGGACCGCGCATAAAATTACACTTTGGCATGATCGTTGGGGACATCCTGGACGAACAGCGATGCACCGTATCCTCAAATTATCACATGGGCATCCACTAACCTGAAGTTTAGGTTCGATTCAAGGAATCACATAGCAAACCTGTTATATGGGAAAACTTATTATTAAGCCTTCTTATGACAAGATTTGCTCGAATCCTCCTATTTTTCTACAAAGGATTCAAGGGGACATTTGTGGATTGATTCACCCTCTCTGCGGACCATTTAGATATTTTATGGTTTTGGTTGACGCTTCCACATGTTGGTCATAAGTGTGCTTGTTGTCCACAAGGAACCCTGCAATCTCCAAACTATTGGCTCAGGTTATCAAGCTCAGAGCAAGTATTAAAATATCCATTTTCTATTAATTTCTCTGATCATAGAGGGGCCTCTTTAACATTATGTATAAATGGGCTATCCTATTTGTACATATATGGTAGATGGACGCATTCAATCCTTGTTTGTCCATTAATTCCCAATTCTTTTATGCATCGCGGGGTAGAGCAACATGGTAGCTCGCAAGGCTCATAACCTTGAGGTCATGGATTCAAATCCCGTCTCCACAACATTTTTTTTTTTAGACAACAAAATATAATAATGAATTACCCTTTTCATTTTGGTGGGAGGAAAAGAGAGTGGACAGTAGAACCCCTATATACTATTGTGGTTAGCTATACTTAATGCTTTATCTATTAAATAAAAAACAAAATTTAATATACTTATCTATTATCCTGAGCAGATAGTGGGAATCGAACTGCTTCTTCTCCTTGGCAAATAGAAATTTTACCATTCGACTATATCCGCATTATATATAATTTATTTAGTATTTATAAATATTTTATAAATTATAAATTATATATATTTTTTTATATATCATAAAATAAATAAATAAAATTTCATTTTTTTAACTTATTATAATTATAGAATAATAATACAATAATACATATTTAATATACAATATATGCTCACCATCCTGATTTTCCGATCAAATCTATTCGATTGGATAACTTTTGATGACTATTGCATGTCTGTTAAGGTTGAAGTAACAACTAGCACCCCATGTTCACACCCAGAACTGCCTGGTAGAGGTATTCATTAAGCGGTTACAAATGAATGCTCATTTGTTGGTCATACGTACCAAGTTCCCGATCATTGCTTGGGGCCATGCAATATTGCTTGTAGCCATGTTAATCCGCCTGAGGCCTGTTGCGACCCAACCATATAACGCCATTCAGTTGGTTACCGAATACGAATTCGACATATCGCATATGCGTGCTTTTGGTTGTGCAGTCTATGTACTGATTTCGTCGCCTTTACGTACAAAAATAAGGCCTTAGTGGAGGATGATAAACTATGTCGGATATGATTCTCCTTCAATCATTCGTTACTTAGAACCTTTGACAGTTGATTTGTTTACCGTTCGTTTAACGCATTGTCACTTTTATGAGACAATCTTCTTGTCGTTAAAGGGAGATAAGAACGTTACCATTCATGAAGAACAACGTGAATTATCGTGGAGGATTCCCACTTTGTCTCAAACCCCGAAACACGCTCTCAATTCGGCTAAGGTGTTAACTCTATGGTTTGAAGCAATCCGAAAGAATATGGTATAATTGCCTGAGTGAGTATTTAACTAGTCAGGATATGTGAACAACGAACTATGCCCTTTGTGTTTTCATTAAGAAGTCACATTCTGATTTTGCGATTGTTGCAATTTATGTCGATGACATGAACCTCATCGAAACTTCTAAAGAGCTCCAGAGAACTGCCGCACACCTGAAGTTAGAATTTGAGATGAAAGATCTAGGAAAGACTTATACTATCTCGGTCTCGAGATAGAGCACCGTTTAGATGAAATTTTAGTATATTAATCGAACTACACTCATAAGGTGTTGTGCTACTTTAACGAGAATAAAACGAAGCCTTCGAGTATTCCTATGGTCGTTGGCTAGATGTAAAACGAGATCCCTTCTATCCGAATGAGGGATGAATAGATTTTGGAGCATGAAGTTCTTTATCTAAGTGCTACATGCACTTTATTG